TCACCTCTTATTATTTTTGGGCTTCAATGGGAGCTTGTCTCTATTTTTGTTCTCTTTTAAAAAGGAACATAACATAGAAAATGTTATACTTTATATGTTTTCAGTTGGATATTTTAATAATTAAAAACTTTAACTTTTATAATAGTTAGATGTATAAATTTAAATTTTAAAATAAGTAAAAAAAGAAAAAAAAGAGTTTGAATAGTAGAGTTATCCCTTATATACTTCTTCTCTTAAATTCAGGACAAAAACCCCTAAATTGTCTCCAACTTGTGAGTTTTGATATTTGTTTTCATGGTGCTATTATACAAATAATTTTTATATCATTTTTTAATATAATTTTTACATATCATTAAATGAATAAATGTATTTAGTATCATGAATTTTATATAAATAAAAAAATTAATCATTTAAATAACATATCAAGTTATATCAAAAAATGATATAAAAAAATTATCTCAAATTTATTTATTTATTTTTGTTTTCAAGTATAGAAGTGTGACTTTAAATATTAAATCTCACATCTTTAGGATTTTAAGCTCCGAATTAACGGTGCATGATCATATATCTCATGTGTCTGGTACTTTTCCATTGAATTTAGCTTTGTTACCAGATTTATTGTCCACCGTGACACCAAGTTAACCATTCTTCAATTATCAAAATAAAAAAGGAATTAATGTCATTTATATCAAAAAGTAGGACTTAGTTCAATTTCTTTTCATCTTTCTTCCTCTGTCTTCCCTCTCTTACCTCACTCTTTTTACAGAAAAAGGACTAACATCAGTTATTATTATTGTTACCTTTTTAAAAGTGGTTTTCAAGTTAACTTCAAAAAAATTATTAAAAAAATATAATTATTTAAATATTTTTAGTAAATCTTTTTATGTATTGATTTATTTAAACATATTTAAATCTTTTCATTGTTTTTGAACAAAATCAAATGAACAATTTTATTTTTGTATCTTGATTGTTTGTTAAAAAATGAAAACCCAACTTTTAATTTTTTACACGGTATAGGGCTGGGCTTTGTGCAGTGTAATTAATAATTTTAGTTAGGATATAAAATATTATATATAAGAAGAGAATAATACCTACATGTCTCACTTCTTAAAGTTTAAAAAAAAATTATTTCAAAATTATATCATTACAAAAAAATTTTATAGTAAAAAATTAAAATATTCTATTTTTAAACTATAAATTAATGTTTTTTTCATTTTATATAATATTTTATAAAAATGATATAATTTTAAGATACTTTTATTTTTTATTTTTAATTTTTAAGAGATAAAATAAATAACATTAAGTTTATTTAAGAATAGCGAGAAATTAAAAAGATTAAGAAAATTTGGTTGGCTGTGAGGAATGATGGGCTGTTTAACAATTGGGTTTTAAGGAATTATAATTAGGTATTTTTTTACCTATTTTAGTGGTGTTAACTTTCTAATTATATAAAGATTTCGGCCCAAGGCTAGAAAGAAACCCAAAAGGGCGAAACTGGAAGTGAAAAGCAGATTCAGTCCAAAGCCCAAAACTCACCGCTCGCTCGGATCTTTCCGAGACCCGATTCCGAATCAGAGAAAAACCTACCGTACTTTGTCTCCCAAGTAATGGCAGTAGTATTTCTTCGATTCTTTCTCCTTTCTCTTCTTCTGTAGCAAGAACTGAAACCCTAGCTATTTTCTTCGAATCCATGGCTTCCCTCGAAACAAATCTCAACGATCCCCAACCCCAAACCCTAGATTCTCAAGCTCCTGGACAAACCTTCACGGAGTATCCTCAATTTCAACCTCTCGGCCACGACATCGATAATGCTCAAAATCATGCTGGGAACGAGAATTCTTCTTTTAAACATGAGATTCACATGCCTTTGCTGTCTGAGAATGGGGTTACCAACAACACACACAGTGGGACCGACAAGGATTATTCCGGTGGCGAAGAGGAGACCACGAGCAGGAGGCGACGTCGGAGCCGGTGGGATCCGCCATCAGATTTGAACGAGCAGAATGGAAACGATGATTCTGGGAGCGGCACAAAGAAGAAGAAGAAGTCCCGGTGGGCGGATGATGAGCCTAAGCCTTTGGTTCAGCTCCCTGATTTCATTAAGGATATCACTGGAGGTATTGGGTTTGATCCTGAGATTCAGGCTTTGAATAGTAGGTTGTTAGAGATTAGTAGGATGTTGCAGTCTCCTATGACTTTGGATGATAGACCTGAGGGTGCTAGGTCTCCTTCACCTGAACCTATATATGATAATAATGGAATAAGGATTAATACTAGGGAGTATAGGGCGAGAGAGAGATTGACTAAAGAGAGGCAAGAGATTATTTCTCAAATTATCAAGAAGAATCCAGCGTTTAAGCCGCCAGCAGATTACAGGCCACCAAAGCTTCAGAAGAAGCTTTATATACCAATGAAGGAATACCCAGGTTACAATTTTATCGGGTTGATTATTGGGCCTAGGGGGAACACTCAGAAGAGGATGGAGAAAGAAACGGGTGCAAAGATAGTAATCAGGGGTAAAGGTTCTGTGAAGGAGGGAAGGTTGCAGCAGAAGAGGGATTTGAAGGTTGACCCTTCCGAGAATGAAGATTTGCATGTTTTAGTTGAGGCTGAGACACAAGAGTCGCTTGATGCTGCAGCAGCAATGGTGGAAAAACTCCTGCAGCCTGTAGATGAGGTTTTGAATGAGCATAAGAGGCAGCAGCTTAGGGAACTTGCAGCCTTGAATGGGACCATCAGGGATGAAGAGTATTGTAGATTGTGTGGTGAGCCGGGACATCGTCAGTATGCCTGTCCTTCACGTACCTCAACCTTTAAAAGTGATGTTCTTTGTAAGATATGTGGTGACGGTGGGCATCCAACTATTGATTGTCCAATGAAGGAAACGACTGGAAAGAAGATGGATGATGAATATCAGAATTTCTTAGCTGAGTTGGGGGGTACTGTTCCAGATTCAGCAACCAAGCAAAACTCTGCAGCTGGTTCAGGCAGTAGTGGAAGCAATCCTCCTTGGGCTAGCAACAGTGGTGGTGGTGCAAGTGCACATCCTGGATTAGGTTCGAATCCACTTAAGCCTACCAAGGAATTTGATGATACGAATTTGTATATTGGATACTTGCCACCTACTATGGATGATGATAGTTTGATCAGGCTGTTTTCAGCTTATGGTGATATTGTGATGGCAAAGGTTATTAAGGACCGGGTTTCTGGATTGAGCAAAGGTTATGGATTTGTGAAATATGCTGATGTTCAGATGGCTAACAGTGCCATTCAAGCCATGAATGGTTATCGTCTGGAGGGAAGAACAATTGCAGTTAGAGTTGCAGGGAAGCCCCCACAGCCTTCTGTGCCTACAGGTCCTTCGGCAGTAACAGTGCCAACATACCCTGCTTCAAGTCAACCAGTTGGCGCATATCCATCTCAGCAATTTACAACTGGTGGCCCCCTTCCAAATGCAGCCCCTCCTACCTATGCAGGTTCCCCAGTTCCATGGGCAGCACCAGTTCCTAATCCCTATGCTTCTTATGCACCTCCTCCGCCACCTGGATCAACAATGTACCCTCCCATTCCTGGCCAGCCAATGCCCCCATATGGCATGCAGTATCCCCCTCAAATGCAGACAGCTTCACCTGGTGCTCCACCTCCACCTCCACTTCCACCTCCACCTCCACCAGCCACCCCACCAGGAGTGCAATCTGAAAATACTACCTCTGCTCCAGCTGTTCATTCAAATATTTATGGAAATTCAATGACTGCAATGACTGCAATGCCTGCAAATTCACAGTCTGTATACACAACAGCTTCATTTAGTTACTCTTCTTACTACAATGCAACTCCTCCTCCTGCACATGCCCCAACATCAGACCCTTCACAGAGCATTGGTAATGTTCCTTGGGCCCTAAATCCGCCTGTGCCCCCCACTGCTTCTTCTGCAGAGAAGAAAGCCTCTGGTGCAGATGCTGAGTATGAAAAGTTCATGGCAGAGATGAAGTAACATGGATCTATTCTGCTGATGATTCCTGATTGAGGGGTAAGCATGCTAAATCTGTCTGAGTAAACCTGCCTACTTCATCTATTGTCATTTTATTAATTTCTTTTTTTACTGTTTTGACCATGGGCCAACACTCCAACCATTCAATGATCCTGCTATTCTAGGCCGTTTCTGGTTCATGTGAAAAGTTCAGTTACCTGCACTGACATTCTTTTCTATCATGTGAATAGTGTAAAAAAATATATATATGTTTCTTTGATGCTTGATCAACTTGATTGTTTATTGTCACTGTAAAATGATAGTATTTCTTAAAATAAGAAGTTCTTTTGAACCTTAGCTTGTTTTACCCTACCCATAGAGGTGCCTTAGCTTATTGATGCATGATTGGATGGGATAAGAGGAGTAATCTTATGTTTTGTTTTCCCTTGGATTTGCATGATTTGATGCTTATTGTTTTTCTTGTCATGTTTCAAAATAGAAAGATTTTATAAATTTGAAGAGGGAAGAAGGTAAGCAAAACCTATTCTCTTCTAATGTTAGGTTTTTTGGCAAGTATGACAAGGTTTCAAGTTTTGCAAATTTGCTTTGGACAGAATTTCTTGATATGCTCGTTTTCATTCTTTATTCAGATTATTCTCTTTAACCTTGTAATGCAGTGATGTCCTGATGCTTGGATGTTTTGGTATTCATGAGTTTCCCCAAGAGGATATTCCTTTTGTTTTCTCTCTTCTGTCCCCTCTAATATGCTGAGTGTTGCTCACCTTATATCTTTTTTTGATAAATTACTCTTATGCTTCTTAACCTTCTACCTTGCTATCATTGTATAATTTTACAGGACTGATGTTTCTTGGAGCCCTTCTGAACCTGATTTCTTACCTCTTGTCATGACTTTGTTGGAAGTTTGGGACTCAATCTTTAACCTTGCTGTACTGTTATGACATTTGCAGAGACTTTTATTGGAAGTTCAGTTCAAGCAGCCATATTTTGAAAGGCCACTCAGATATCATTGGTGGCAATATTCAGGGCTTATGTGAACTAGTTTTCTTTTGTCATGGATTTTTGTTGCTTCTTATATTTTTTCTGTTGACTAATGTTTTACTTTTATTGGTTTGTGAACTTTCATCCACTGGATGCTGACAATTTCTCTTATCTTATTATGCTTATTCCTTAACTGTTTTGTTGATTGACCTAGCTCTTCTAGCTATTTCTCAGTGATAATGCCTGCTTTATTGTAAGGGCATTTTGTTTGCCAAGTTGCCACGGTCATGAAGCTTTGTATCATCCTTATCGCTCCATGTCATGAAGGTGATTCTTCCATCGAATAGGAAAGCATGATTGTTTGAGGAAGAGTTTTATGTCTTTGTTATATATTCTAATGGATCTTTGAAGTTTATATTTGGCAGGTGAAGCAACCCTGGATATCCTAAGAGTCTTGATGGTTTTAACTTTTTTTTCATGATCTTTTATTGAGAAACAAGTATGACTACGATGATAGATTCAGGAATGGATTTAAGTATGAGTTTAAGTAGTATTTGGTCCAGTTGAGTCAACAAGGCAAATCCTAGTTAAGCCCATAAAACGCTTATGGAATGATGTGGAGAGATAGGCTCTTTTTTTATTATTTTTTTTTATAGCAGTCTCTTTTTTGTTTAATTGTGTTCACATGTGAGCTGAGTTGACAAGAAGCAATACTTGGCTGTTGTTGATAATAGGAGTCATGGGCAGCAAGTAATTCACTTGTTTGGGCTTTGATTCTTTGGTTTTTTATTGGCTAAAATGAGAATTTTATCCCTTGTAGTAGCCCATGTCATTGGAAGCTCACTGGTTGTAGTTTTCATGAGAAACAGCATTTTGATGATTGTATGTTAACTACTTAATGGTGTGGCATCTGTAGGACTTTATCCTGTTCATTTGGATCCAATGTTAGAAGCCGTTTTCATGGTGTATAGACAATTGGTTTAATAGAGTTTTTATGAGATTATCTTCTTTATTTTGTTGATTAAACATTATATATATCTTAATTCTGTTTGAGGTGCTTATAATCTGTGTCTCCTCATAGTTTCAGACGCAAAACATTTTCTTTGTTGGATTGATAAAGCAAATCATGTTAAACTGTGCTTCCTAAGTAGATTCTGAATAATTGTAAAACTTAATCTGTTGGCTGGTTTATATTTGAAATAAATGTATTCATTCCTAATATAATGCTTTAATAGCAGCTTGTTTTTAGTTCTGCATGAGCAAAGTGTTTCTAGGCTCTCTCAATTTCTTCAATAATTAAAATTTGATGATTTTTTTCTAGATATATGTGGTATCTTTCATTCTTGAGAAATTCAGATAAGAGTTTCTGTAATGGATACTATTCTTGCTTTTTTATTATTTTTTTTCGTATCTTTTTCTTGTAATTTTGTGATTAAAAAGAATTCCTGTGCATATTAAGATCAATGTATCTTTTGGAGTAAGACTTAGCTTTTTGTTGCATTAAGGTGAAGGGCTGATGACCTTTACTCAGCAGCTTTTAGTTTGTTTTGTTTAGAATATTCTATGCGCCCAAGATGCATATATTCTCTTACAAGTTCTTGTTTGTGCATTGGAGTGTTGAATCTTTATCTTGACCAAAATATTTATATTCTCCGAAAAGCATTCTTCTTTTTCATCCTCTGTGTGCCCTGCACAGTTCTTTTTAAGTATTTTACCTTGCACTGAAAACACTTGAGACGATTGCCATACAAAATGCTAGCACTTGAAACAAGCATTAACATCTATGATGTGACAGCTTGAAATGAGTTTCTCTTTTTCTTCCTCACTTTGAAGCAAGATTGTAATGTAAGTGATTGCTGACGTTTGTCTCATAGGGAAACCACCAAAGCATGATTATCATAGCATGTTTTACAGCTTTCTGATGTGAAGTCAACATGCTGCAATGACGGAGTTATTGTGGCTGACACATCCCGGAAATAGTATCCTGATTCTTAATCATCTGTTCATCCTTGTCTAACCTCATTGTGTTATATGTAAGTTGGTCAGGGCATTGCATCTTTGGGTATTGGTTGCTGTCTGCAGCTTTTGAGATTCCAATCAAAGAAGATAATTGGGGATCAGCTACTAACCTTCTAAGTAAAATGTCCCCCTCTTTCTCACCCACCCAAACACCAACAAATCTGTGAGGGGGAATGAGTCGGTTTTGCTTTAAGTGGCGGGAGTGGTTCAGCAGGGATTTTTAGCATGAAAATTATTTTGTAGGTGTGACAGATGGTGCTCATTTGTTTCCCAGTGTGTGAAAGTAGACAAGGTTGGTTCCCCGGTTTGAAAAAGTGCTGCTGGTTGTATTGATGTTGGGAACACTAGTATTCTTGGGTTTATATAGTAGTTTGAAGTCTATTGTGTGGATGTACATTTTCGGTTTGCAGAAAATGGTGTGGATATACATTTAGCTCCATTTGGTTACACCTTACACAGGCATGAAGTCTGTCTCTACAGAAAATGACTTCTGGAGTTGAAATTTGAATAGTGTTATGAAAATTGTTGATTTTTTTTTTTAATTGAGTTTTATTTTTTAAAAAAGTGTCAGATAATAAATTATATAATAAGGGATAGTCATTCTTTTTTCAAAATTTTCTCCACTTATTTTGGAATTCAAACTTGGTCTTCAATATGGAGATTTAAGTTTTTAATCACCGGATTTCCTTCGGAAAAGTATTTCTCTAGAATTGGTAAAAAGTATTTTATGTGAAGTTATTTTTTGTGAACCAATCAAACAGTTCCTTTATTTTATGACAAGCTGCAAAGGTGCTTTTGACGTTCTCTTTAAATGTCTGCATTCACTGGACGACTAAATGGAGTGTTTTGCTGTTTGCACCCAGAAGAATGTTTGTACTCGATATGTCGTTTGATTCTAAGTGGATGAGGTTTTGAATTCCTGATGGCTGCATTCTGATGCTAGCTAGGCAGCCTGAAAGGGTAAAAAACATATATCTCTGTTGGTAATAGTTGTTGGAAATCAATCAACTCTGGGAGTACGTCCTAACATTTAAAATGAGGTTGTTGGGGTATGTGGTGGTGGCGCAATAATCTGATTTTTCAAGGAACTCGACATGAGCAAGTGAGGTTGTTAGATTCAATTCAAGAAAAGACATTGTGTGGCTGAAAAATAAATCCATGGGTTGCAATTTCTCCATTTATGATTGGAGTACTTTATGATGGCTTTGTTCAAGTTCTGTTGCTGAATATTTTATAGGAAAGAGTTGGAAGTCTGCTAGCAAAAAACAGCAACTACATGGCCAGGCAATGATGAGTTACAGCTAGGGCTGAGCATGGTATGGTAACTGTATCGCATTGAAATGATGGTAACCATTTTAAGTGATAATAAAAAAGAATTACCACTTTCATACTAATTGATGATTTTTTGGTAATAGCTGCCAATCATTTTTAATGGTAATGAAACTTGCTTTACTAATACCATACCATATTACCATCTTTAAATTTATTTTTTTTATTATCAATTAATTCAAGTCATTTAAAATTTAATTTTAAAAGTTCAAAATTATCTTAAAAACTTATTTTCTCCATACCATTCTTCATCATTTTGAAGCATACAAATATATAATTATACAAAACATACACACATAAAAAAAAAAAGAAAAAAAAAGAAGAGAACTAACAACAACTGAAAACTTTGTAGAATAAAAAAAAAAAGAGGAAAAAGTTTTGAATGAGTGGTAAATTTGGTAATCATATAGTAAAAATGGTAATTACCTCTAATACCAATACCGTACCACAAGTGTAAATGGTATTATCATATTACCATTTAGACTTATCATATGATAATTTATCATACCGTTTCCGTTGATAATAAAACGATACAATGGTAATTGTGGCATTTATGGTATAGTGCCCAGCCCTAGTTACAACAGGGAGAGAGTAACAATTGTTTTAAGTAATGTGAGTTGTTGTGTGTACTAATTTGCTTGTTTTGGTACCCGTAAAATTGGAGTATTCCTTGTATTTTTATTAATTTATTTTTAAAATTTATTGATAAGAAATAAAAAAATTTACTGCAACTTCTATTTTGTTTTATTTTATTTTTCTTTTTATAAAAAGGTTTATACTGAGAAGAGGTTGTTGAATCCAATACTTCCCATATATAGAAAAAGAATAGCCAATGCTCAAGATTTTCATTTTCTCCTAACAAAATCCATGCAAAATGAACCTGAAAACATCAAAAGAGGCCCCAAAAAAAAAAAAAAAGAAAAAAAAGAAAAAGCTAGCTCAACTTCGTGTCAACCACCCAAAATCTCAAGCAGATGCTGTAGATCGTCCGGCATTATTCCCAACCTCAAATGCCGCATTTATCCCATGCTCCGGTGATTCATCCCACATATCGCACTTATCGAGGACTACCGTCAACTCATACGGCGGAACATCGGTGGCTAGCCATCGATCAACATAAAACACAGTCTGACTACACGACCTATAGGGCCCCGTGGAGGTGACCTGCATGTACTCAACGTACCAGCCGTGGTGAGGCCCCGACCCGTCGGAGGTCAAGTTGAGGCGGCAGGCTGGTGGCTCGATGCAAACACCACGGCCACTGAAGACGTCGAGGTTGCCGCGCTCAAAGTAGTCATGGTTAGGGTCCATGAGGCCCCACGACTTGAGATTTGGGATCCACACCGAGTTTCCCCATGGATCCCCTAGTACAAGACTAATCTTTGAGTCCGTACCTCCTTTGATCACCGACGCAGTTTTCACATAAATGGTGTATACACAATCCTCCTGAATATTTAAAAAACCTAAGAGTACTTCCCTTTAAATTCTTATTTAAAAAAAATTAATATTCAAATTTAATGTTTTAAAATGTTATGTATAATTGTAAATTTATAATTATGATGAAATAAATGTGATGTATCATTAAATAAATCATATATGTAATATTTAAATAAAATTTTTGAATGCACTTGGCCCGTGTGGCCCAGTGACTAAAGCCACCGAAAAGTGCACATCCCCCTCTCATGGGCGGGTTTCGAACCCGTCTCATAACAAAACTGTTCAAAAAAAAAAATTTTTAAATAAAAAAATTAATTATATAACAATACATTATATTATAAATTTATAATAGTGTATAATATTTTCACTATATCATTTTTATAGTCAAATCCTTAAAATTGAATGTAAAAGAATTTTAAATATAAAATTGAGAAAATAATTTTTATACATCTTATGATAGTTTCTCTTTTCTTTCAAATCCCTAATCACTTGATTTAAAATTCAAAGATGAGACATTTAAAATAGAATTAAATTTTTAAGGGTAGTGATATGCAAATAATTTTTTTATAAAATTTTTTTACATAACTTTTCTATGTCTTTAAATTAATGTGTGCATATAATATCATAAAATTTAGTAGAGTTAAAAGAGTCAATTATTAAATAATATGTAAGATTATATGAAAAAATTATCTATCTATATTTTCTAATTTTTAATCAATTGAACCATTCATTAAGACAAATTGAGTAAATAATAGTTAAGCCAAAAGGAGAAGACATGATTAACTCTTAAATTTAAGAATGAATTTACAACAGATCTGATTCATTTATATGGAATTGATGACTATCTATATATAGACGATATTTTCAGTACTTACCGAGTAGTCGCTCGCGGCGAGGGAGAAAAAGAGAGCTAACAAGATGAAGGAGAAGTAAAGGGCTTTCATTTCTGATGTCTATCTCTGTAGGTCTGATTGATTTCAAGCTATTTGTAATGGAAATATTGTGCTAAGGAAAGAGTATTTATGGAGAAAAATGAGGGGGATGATGCTATGTTGCCATGAAAAATTCAAGCAATTACATACTATTAATGGGATAAAGAGAAGACGTGCATTTAGATTTTTGCTGCAAGAATAGTGGAATAGTTGATTTTTTTTTTTTATGAGTCCAAAAAATGTAATTTTATTTTAATATGATTTTTTAACATAATTTAATATTATATTTTTATGTCTGAAGATTTATTTACACATAATTTGATATAAAATTTTCACCATTTATTTTTTTACTATAAATGGTTGAAATTTATCAACTTTTTATC